CACGGAGTTTTCGTCCGTGGCATCCCAACAATTACTCCATTCACACACAGAAGAAGGCAATGGCAAACCACTTCTGGATCATCTGCCAAGAACGTATATGAACAGGTCCTAGTCCGAGAAAAGGATGGAAGGATCCTGTTCATATGGACCTGTCGTCAGACAGAACACTAAATAATAATAATCCGTATCTCCGCGGAAATGTTGAGTAGGATTTATGTTCATGTGATATTTCTGACTGTGGATGAATTTAGAAATAAGATGTTGATGTATTGACAGTCGTCGTTCATTCTGTATGTTGATTCAGAAAGAACTGTGGTAGTTTCTTTTACATTTTAAGTTGTAATGTATTAAAGTCAAAATTGTGTAATTGCATAGTAGTTACATTTTCTCTAAAAAGCCTAATTATTCGAACACAATATATTCCCTGTCTCTAGAAATAATAAACTTAATTTCCCACTGAATGGTATTTTAATCAGTCAGAGGGTATTAATTTATTACAAAACATTCTCGGTTGGTTCTTCGCCGTCATTACAGAACTTAACACGACCTTCACATTTTCATTATCTATTCGGTAATATTTCTTTTTTCATTCTGACATTTATGAAATATTTAACTCACAAGTGACGTGTAGCAACTTAAAACGTCCGTACGTCAGTATCCTCATATAAACTAATTGTACATATTATTCGCTTTTTTAAATTCTTTTTACTCTCGCATTTGGAGATAATCACCTGCGCTTATTACACCGGAGTTTCGTGATGTTATTTGGGAATTCAGTCTTAAATTCTATATTCTTAAGAAAGTATTTTGTTTTGCTGGAATTCTGTCAGTCAACGATACAAATTTTTAAGATGATATAGTTGCGTCATATTGTGAAACCATATATTAATTAATTATTCGGTTTTGGTCCGTCTAATCACAATTCAAATTTAAAATTTACAATTAAGATAATTAAAATATCATTCACTCCAATATGTAAAAATGAATCTGGAAGTGAACATCACCAAAAAGTTGCATATCAGAAATTGTAATTAGGTTTTAAGTTTATAA